TTTGCTTTATTGAATTGAATCACTTACTCCTCTATGCTTCATGTGACAAAAATTGAATGAGAGAACACTGTTTGTCTGTGTTCAACATGGGAGAGCAATAGAGCATGACTTCTAGAGACTGTGGAATAAAAGAACCATTCAGGGAACGTATCAGATCTGATCATACAGGATAGGAGGCAAGAAGGGACAGAAAGAACCTAGTCTGAAATAAGACGTAAGTAAATAAAGGAGGGAGTAAAAGAAGAATGGGAAGAAAAGGAGTCAGAAATGATATGGAGTAATTTGCATCATGAAGTTTTGATTATTAACATCTGAGTCTTCTAGGCATGAGGTTATTTCACCTCAGTAACCCACTCCAGAGTTTCTCCTAAGAGGAACAAGTTATTGGAAGTAACTTCCCCCTTTTTTCTTGAAAAATAGATTTCTAGCCCCTCCCATGATTCAGAGACTTTTCCAGAAAGATTTAGCAAGGCTGTCTTATAAGAAACTGTAGTGTTTGGAGTCAGATAACTTTCTGCAAAACTAATGCATTTATTTGGGGAATATGTAAGCTCAGCACAGTCATTACCAAGAGTGCTCAGACTTGATTTTATTTTCATTCCAACAGAAAAGAAGGAAGGAAAACAACTTCTTTTCAAAACCTGAAAAGTCACCTCTCTGTTCCTTGCTTCAATTTATTCTTCAAACTACACAGCAAAACAGAGAAATAAACTTTAAACATACTATTACCATGTAGTCAGCCTTCTTCAAGAAAGTAATAAAATAAGATTGCTGCCTTCTGGATGATGTCTATTCAAACCACTTTTTTTGTTTTGTTTTGTTTTATTTTCTTTTCTTTTAATATCACCCATCTCCTCTCAATCCCCAGAACCGCTGCCTTTCTTATGACAAAAGGATCTTTATACTAGTCTCCCACCTACTACCCTGTCCTCAGTCTTATTGTTCTGTAATCCATCTTCCACACCATTGCCAGAGATGTTGTGAAAGCCTGACCTTGTTCACTTCACCTTGCTTTTGTCTATGCACTCCCATGTTTTCTCCTGTTTCCAAGTTCACAAAATGCTGCCACCCCTTCCCCCTCCCCCCACCACCTGAATACCTCCCATTCCTAACCATCTAGTAATCTTCTCTTTCTCTTCAAGGAGTCAGCAAAAGAGTGCCTTTCCCTGTGGGGAGCCATTTATTTTGGTTTTCTCCAGCCTGAATTAGGTGTTGTTTCATGTTCTTGTGATACTCTGCATCCTTCTACCCAGAAACTCACAGGGTGATTCTATAATCATAACACTTCTAATCCACTGGTGTACTGTACGATCATTGGTCTGGACTATGTCTTATTGATCTTTTTGCCTCCAGCTCTTACTAAACTCCTGGGAACATAGGGAATACTCAGAAATATTTAATGAAATAGGTTCATATAGTTATTATAGGCTGCAAAAAGTATGGTCAGGCATCAGGAATAAGAATATAAAAACTGGGACAGCCCATGTAATCTGAGATCTCTGAGTAACTTAACTACAACTACTGAGGGGGCAAAATCTGGTTTGGGGTTTTATTTTCCTTTTCTTTCAAATTGTTAATATTTTCAGGTTAGAGAGTTAAAAGTGACAGAAAAAAAACTTAAGATGGGTAGTTAAACAGAATTACTTAGACTATTGTGAGTTACATTTCTTTAAAAATATGTATTAACACTTAGAGGAATTGATATGTAAAGCAAATAATATTCACACCAGGAAATCACATAGTTCTAAATCTTATTCAACAACGTTTTCAAATCTCTCCTATATACCAGACACTGTTCTAAAAATATTAATTCATTTAATTCTTATAACAACCTTAAGAGGTCATCACTAGACAACTTTGGAACTTTCTGTACTGTCTTGTGATACTGGGCTGACTCCTTTCCTCTCCATCCAGAAGAAAGATTCTGAATTGAAGGAACAATATCTACCGATCTAAAAAATTATGTCTAAAATGATATCTAAAAGATATCAAAGCATCTAAGGAAAGAGATCACATCAAAATGAGTACTGCAATATTTATCCTCTCTAACATGCTTGCAAAAAATAAAATAATACTTTGAAGGTCTGAGTGAAATTTTTGTATGGTAATGGAGTACCACATACAAAATAAATCACCTATAAATTATGGACAAAAAGAAATGGAACACTCTTCAAGATAAATCCAGGCTTGTCACAACATAAAACACATATCAGAAAGAGATATATTCTCATTTCTCCTTATTTACACTTCTAGTAAAGAGTGATGATTAGTTGCAGGTAGAAGATTTAAAGAGTGGACTGAAGTATAGGTGACTTGAAGAGTCACACACACAAAAACACTGAGTACTTAGAAAATAGCCTCCTGGGTCCATATTTGTATATTGTCAATAACAAGAAATTTAAAGACATCAAGGAATATAGATTGCAACTAAAGTAGCAACAGACTTTCCTGTGTTGAAAATAATAGCACATGGAAGAGGAAAAAACAGACATTAATAAATCAGAGGGACACATTATACCATAGGATAAAGTTAGCAGATTTGTATCAGTGAACTTGAATGAAACCACAGAAGGCCTGCTTGTCAAATTTACGATGACAATAGGTCTGGCGAAATGGCTCATGCTTTGGATAATAGCATCAGCATTTAAGATCTGGTTAAACTTCAAATTAGAAAAATTAAACTAATGTGTGCATATATCATGGGAGCATCCTACTTACATGTCATCTCTTCACACGGACCTTTTGATCATGTTTCTAACATGGCCTTTAGGATTCTCCCCTCCCCATCACTTCACTGGATTTTGTTTTAAAACATAAGATTTATCCCTTCCTAATATTTTCGTATGTATTTATTAGTTGATTTGTTCCCTTTCTGTCTTCCCTAGAAAGTAAAGTACATGAAAGCAGTAACCTTGTTTAACTTGTATCACTGAGAGTGGAATAGAAACATTAAGTAAATATTTGTCAAAGAAATCAAATGCCTATTTATTTTCCTTCTCTTAAATGACTAGTGCAGACTGGAAAAATAGAACAATAGTATTTCTTGTGAAATATGACATCTGTAGAATAATGGAAACCCCAAGCTGGGATGTGAAGAACAAAACAGTCTTGTCACAGATTAGTCACTCAACCTTTGGTAAATTGTTTAATTAACTCTAGAACCATTTCCTCATCTGTAAAACAGGGCTAATCACAGTCAACTCCTCAGTGGTCTTAAAATGAGTATGAAAGAATTTTGCCCAATGTAAAGTGCAAAACAAATGGTTAATATAAGTATGACTATCATAGGGTTAGGAGGATTGACTTAACATTAAATGGGAACCAGCAGTGTCTTGTGACAGTTGAAGAAAGTAATTAGTCATAGGCATTGGTTGCATCCACATGATAATGTATATTTTGTACCAGCAAGACACAGACAAAATTACTATATCTCCTAGTTTCATATTATGCAAGACATTGACAAGTATCTAAAGGAAGACCCAATGAGTAGAGGTCATGGGGATAGTGTCATTTGAGAAACAGTGGAAATGTAGAGGAAAATGGGAAGAAAGGAAACAGGGCTGTGATACTTATTTTGAGTATGTGAAGGATTGTCACGTGGAAGATTTATTCCATTTAGGACCAAGATGCAAACTAGGAATTGAAAATAAAAGACTAAGAAAGTTATATGTTGGTTTAATATCTTACTTTGATGTAAAGAGCAGTTCTCTAAACCTTAGAGCAGCCCCGTGATGGTGAAAATCAGAAATTGAGGTGGTCCATCCAAACTAGGTGGCGAGAACATCAGCGAAGTTATGAGAAGGCTTCTGATACTCAGCTAAAGTTCAGGCTAAGTGATGTCTGAGAACCTTCCCCTGTACAAAAGTATAATCAAATGCAATATTCCTATCACGGTTATTGAGAATGAAAGGATCCTGAATTCATACTATGACATATCCCAAAATACCATTTTTAGAGACAAAATCAATTTCATTAGAGAGCGTCAGGTGACACCAGTCCTGAGTCAATAAGAAGAAAGACCAGTGGGGTGTGGTATTCATCAGAGAGCGCTTCTGCGTATACCACTACATCCCTACATCCTGCTAAGAATCTTGTTTCACCCTGTTTGATATGTAGATGTCTCCTTTGCTTGACAACATTAACTAGGAGCACATTTATGACCCTAGTGTCCTTCAAGGAATTGCTGCTGTATTTCCTATGACACTTGGTAGTGCAAGTGCAATTCCAGCTAAGTATATCCTTCAGTTCAAAAATGGTCTCATTTCCCAGTTTGGAGAAGGGGGAGAGGAGGTGCTATCCTTAAAATTCAGCAAGTGCTAAGTTGGCAAAGCCAAAGAAACCTTACAGTGTTTGCCTGAAATGACTTTTGCATGGTCCTCCTCGAGGAACCCAGTGGCCTCTCATTACTTTTATGTTTACATTAAAAAGAAAAAGGCATCAACAGATCCTGTATTAACCATATGTTGACATGATGTCATGTCCACAGACCTACACACGTCTGTGCATGGATTATGGGAACTGCGCGTGAGAAATGGAGGAGAAAAGTAGAAAAGAGTGAGAAACAGGAGAAAATAATTTTCGTAACTCGCCTCCGCCCCACCCCCCTCACCCCCACCCCCACCCCACCCCCAGCTCCAGCTCTCCCTCAGCACAGGCGGAGGCTGTGGGCTGTGGACTCCGTGCTGGAATGAGGAGTAATTGAGCCTGAGCGGAGCCCGAGGTAGCTTTCTCCCTCGGTGTCATTGCTGCAGCCTCCAGTGCCCTGTCCCTAGTTCCTCAGCCGCCTCTCTTGAAAAATCATCTGCAAAGACAGCGAAGCCGCCGCAGAAGTTGCCGGGCACAAGACTCCGGAGGCATTGGCTCAGGAACTTTTCACGTCATTTTCTGCTCGGAGCCCCTTCTCGCGTCTCCGCGCCGCCTTTCCCACCGCAAATCACAGCGCTCATGGGGCAGGGGAAGAGCGGCTTGCGGCACTGAGCGGAACCGGACTCGAGCCCGTGATGTCCGGTACCAAACTGGAGGACTCCCCCCCTTGTCGCAACTGGTCATCTGCTTTGGAGCTGAATGAAACTCAAGAGCCCTTTTTAAACCCCACCGACTATGACGACGAGGAATTCCTGCGGTACCTGTGGAGGGAATACCTACACCCGAAAGAATATGAGTGGGTCCTGATCGCCGGGTACATCATCGTGTTCGTGGTGGCTCTCATTGGGAATGTCCTGGGTGAGTGTCGTCCCGGGCAGCCCTCCAGAGGGCTGTCAAGTCCCCTCCGCCCCTGGCTGCAAAGGCTCAGAAGACCCCTCCCTCCCCTTGGGATGCAAACAAAGAGGTCGCTGCTCTCGGGGTGGGGTTTCCTATTAAAAAAAGGAAAAAAAAGTTTTCTGATTTTTGGAACCAGGACCCAGCCCCTGGAGTGGTAATTCCTTTTTGCATTTGCAGGGAGAAGCAGGGAAGCGCGTTTCTTTTGCGATCACCTCGGTTACAAGCGCCAAGACAGGGGGCAGTGACGAGGTCTCAGGTGGATTGTGTTGAGTATGGGGAAATTAGTCATCCTTTTGTGTAAAGTAGCCGGTGTTTCGGGGGGTTTTCCCCGAGAGGTAAAGCTGACAAAATGCAAAGCTGTGCTCCTGAGTAGCAAGCTCTCTTTGGCCACTGGAATCATAAAGCATTTGTGAGCTAGGTAGAGTGCCCTTTGGCGAGGAGATTTAGGCTCTGTCTAGAGGTGGTAATGAAAGGGCAGCGAGTGGAGACAGAGGCAAAGCACAGAGATGCACTCGCGCACTGAAACAGAAACCATGCCAGGAGCAAGCAAGAAGGAGGGGCATCTGAGAAAAGTACCGAAGAGATCGCAGTCATTCATCCAGCCATCCATTCATTCATTCATCCACTCAACCAATATATATATATATATATTTTCCAGAACATGCTTGTTGCCAGGCTAGGGAGAATTTTGTAATATTTTTTTTCCCCCTCCAAGAGGAGATGGCAAGCTTAGTGCTAAGCTCTCTATTTGTTCCTGTCTGTGTTCCTATGCAAACATAGATTTCCTCGTCCATTTCCCACCTTGGCATAATTTCTGAATGTTGGGGAGGGGGTGCAGTGTGGTATGATGGTGGAGTGTATTAGGGCAGCTGGAGAATCCACTTAAAGAAAAGGAGCTTTGGAAGGGAGGGATGGACTTAACATGAATTGTGAATGGAAGGAGCATGTACCTTGATGAATGGAGAGTGGGAGGCGTTTCAGATGCAGAGGGCAGTGTAGAGGCAATCTCTGTTGAAAATGACAGTAGGAGATGAGGGAGGCTACAAGATAGATGCTCTTGATTTTTAGTTATAAAAAGGGAAGAAGATGGGTGAGGTGAGGATAGGCTGAATAGTTTTGAAGTCCAAAGCAAAGAATTGGTAGCTGCAAGGGAGGATGATAAGGAACTTACTAGGCTTTCAGCATGAATCTGATTTTTACCTTTTCTCCCCAAGTGTGTCAGTCTGGGTAGGAAGCATGCAAAGTAGTCTCTTACCAATTCATCAGGCAGAGTAGTTGCTAAGTATGTGACTGAGAAGCACTCCAGAGAGAGTTGGTAAAATATTATTTTTGAAGAGAGGTAAGAATCCTCTGAAAACTTTGTTGTTGTTTTTTAATTCTTGCTGTATTATTTTCAGGATACTTTCCTTTTGTTGATTTTTTAAAGGTAGTCATAAAGGGAATCTTCGGGCGATGCAAATAAGGTGGATGAAGGTGAAAATACACATGCTTAGGGTACTTTGCTATAAACATTGTCTGTTAATAATGATCCCTTTCTTGTTTCCCTTCTTGGACTCCATTCTTAGAGTTTACACTTATTAAAACACATGGCCACTAGCATAGAAACCTATCACTGTATTATTCCAGCACTTAATGAGAAGTAAATAATCTAAATTGAACATCCATTGAGTACCTACCAGTATGCCAGATCTCTTTGCATATACCCTCACTTAAACCTCAAAGTAACCCACATTTGACAGGAGAAGACACAGGACTTAGGGAAATGAAATGGCTTATTAAAGAATATGATTCAGATTCCACTCCATTTCTTCTGACCTCAGATCCAGAATTCTCCATTGATATTCCACTCTAGAGCTAGAAAGCATAGAGAGAATGAATTCTTTGCTCCTTGTTGTCTGCAAGCTTATTAAATGCACTTCCTGTTCTCTCTTGCATCTATGTCCACTGTTAATAAATTAACATGAAGGGTTAATGGCTCTGTCATTGTCTCAAGAAAAATCCTATCCAGAGAGGAATGTTAATGCATTGCAGTAAAAATTTGACCTGTTTTGCAGGAATAGCTACTAATCATAACTACTTCCCTTCCCTAATATTTATTTCATACTTAATCTCTGTGATAAAATTTGTTTCCCTTTGCTTTCACTTCATCCAGGCCTTACACAGGATGTTGATGCATAGTCTCCATATTCTAACTGCATAGTTTAGGGATATAGGTTTGTTAGCCTGGAGAGTGTTACAGTTTCCAAAAGGAAACACCTCTACAGTAAGACTACGTGTTTCATAATATGAGGAAGAGAGCACTGTCCACAGCGCCAAGTGCTGAAATGGCCAATTCCATTCAGCTTAAAAAGAAAAATTTACTCAAAGCATTATGCTCTCAAGCTAACAGCTATTTTCTTCAGGACTAAATGATACTGAAATCCTCTCTGGCTCAACGGAAACCTATTCTTTACTGACATATTCTCTGAAAGTTGATGAAGTTTAAGTTTGACATTTAAACAAATGATCAGTGTCATTACTCACAGACAACTTCCTGCTCTTTAATGTCACTGTCAAATTTGCAAAACGGATTAGATTGAGAATTGCCTTTTTGCCCCTTTAGTGTAAGTAATTTTACGCATAGAGTAGCAGGACAAGGAATCACATTATTCATGTAGGATAAAGAGGCAACATTAGGCATGAAGGTGAAAGACCACAGTGTAGGCAGCAGATGTAATCCCTGACCCTTTGGGTCCATTCACCATTTGCACTTTTATGTAACTGACTACTTGGAAAAATCTCAACCTTGTTGAACTTACAAATATAATGTGATCAGTTAGAAGTCATTTCCCCCACACTGTCATTTTGTAAAGTGATGTAACAGGATATGCCCTGAGCAGAATGACAAATTCTTGATCATATCTATGTTTTTTACTTCTTTCCACAGTTCAACTCTTTCATTGCGTACCTTCTCCCATATGTATCAGATATTTCTTCCCAATGATGGAAAGCAGTTTTCCGAGGAAAAAACAACTGCAACACAAGTCATTCAAACTAAGACAAAAGTTACTTTACATGAAATTTAATGAGTATATGCATTCTAATAAAAGACTATAGGCATGTCTGCTTATAGAATTTTAGGTCATGGGAAGAAAGGACAGAGTTCTTTTTGGAAACAGTGTTTTTCCAGTATCTTCAAAATTATTCCATATCTAACCTATTCCTAAGTATGTCTTGTACTATAGCCAAGTAGATGCATTCAATTATTTGACCAGTGCATTTTGAGCAATGTTTTTAAAATTAATGTGTATTGAGGGGAGGGCTTTTGGGGAAACTAAAAGTAACATATTTGATGTTATACCTATTTCTTTTCCCTTGAGTTGAAACTGTGTGGAGTGATGGTTTCTGGTCAATTCAAACATTAAACATCTGGAGGATATGGGCAAGTCTCTGCCTCTCTTACTTCTGCATTCAAAGATATCATGATTTTTCACCTGGAATGCTTCTAGCTTCCCTATTGCTATCCCCATGTGAAAAATGAGGAGAACATTCACCAAATGACATCAGTCCAGCTGTGCTTCTTGCTTCTTGTGTGACTATTAGCAAGTTATTGAACTCTCCAAATCTCTCTTTTTCTAATTGAAAATGAAGGTTAATAATCCCTGCCTTGTAGAAATCTTATAAGAATATAATATATTCAGGAGTATATACACATACATATGTGTGTGTGTATTTTACCTGGCATATAGTAGACATTAAACGCCAATTTCTGTCTCTTCATTCCCATTATTGAAATCTCCCCCTGATGTAGTTTGCAGCCATCTTCTGCCTACACAGCCAGTCTGTAGCTCTTTGTGACCTCTGTCCTAGCCTTTTTATCATTTCAGAGGTTTCCTAAAAGCTATTAGTAAAATAGAGTTGGCACATGTTGTTCACCTTTTCCATACCAGCTCCACCTACTGACCCACTAACAGGTGTTTAGTGCCCTCATACTAACTACTTAATATTACCTTCTCACCTCTCAGTGAAAGACTTTGCTATCATGATAATACTCTGTCCTTCAGTTTAAAGTTACCTGCATAGGGTTCCATATACTGAGTTATGGGTTGTTGTTGGGTTGTTGTTTGGTCTCTTAATGTTTTATATAGAATGTGTGCATGCACATGCGCGTGTGGGCGTGCGCGCGCACGCACACACACACACACACACACACACACACACACACACAATATGTTGATTTAACTCAGTTGAAGCACAGGGCCTATTAAGAAATTTACCCAGTAATGGTTAAGCTAAATTGGATGGATGAGATGGAGGAATATCTGTAATGGGTTGCTTCTTACAGAGCTAATCATATGTCACAGATATGGAACTGGCAGAGTTACAAGTTCCCACTACTCTTAACCCTACAACACATTTCTTTCCTGCTTATCCTAATGCCCAGTTCACAGTTGTGGGTGTTTCTAAACCCACCCTTTCCTTTACAGGCAACAGAAAGAGGTTAGAGATAATACATTACTCATTTCTACCAAGACCTGATAGAAGTCATGAATGATGCCTATAAAAGCTTATATTAACCATTGAGCTTTAAATTTGTGTGTTTTCATTACAGAACGTCAAATATACTTATCTGAATATGAATTAAACAGATGCCTCCACACTTTTACTAAACTCATAACCACCCAGTTTTATTGAGTAAAATACATTATGTTTTTGATTTGAACAAAATCTCAGTGGTCACTTTTTAAATGCCTGTTTCATAGATAACAGCAACATTTATCATGTTCAGAAAGAATGAGATAACATGTCTTACTGATAATATAAATGTAACGAATTCTTCCTATATTTGAAAAAAATGAGGAAAATTGAATAATGAAAATACAAACTTTCAAAAGAGGAAAAATCTAGCACTCAAATACAAATACAATATTCTAGTTTTTAAAATTGTATTGATTTCATTAGGACATATATATTTTTTATAT